ACGTTCCACTCGCCAAGGTTGTCCGTTATCCCCAATGTTATTTGTCTTAGCTATAGAACCCTTGGCAATGATGATAAGAATGCGAACTGATCTATTTGGCATCCAGTTGGGAAAAGAAGAGCATAGATTGGCATTGTATGCGGATGATCTGATAGTTTTTTTTGACAAGTTTGTCCATTAGCATCCCAAATTTAATGCAGCAAATAGAGTTGTTTGGTCAGTTTTCTGGCTACAAAATAAATTATTCAAAGTCCTCTGTTCTATTTTTTAACAGGGACGAAAGGCTGAACCCGGTTATACAAACGCCCTTTATCAATGCAAGAGAAGGATTTGTGTACCTTGGTGTTAAGATCACCTCAGACATTAAAACAATTGTATCAGCAAACTATGATCCTCTGGTCAGTGAAGTAAACGAGTCACTGAATAATTGGATGACAATGCCCATATCAATGATTGGCCGAATAAATGTGATTAAAATGAATATATTACCAAAGTTTTTGTATCTTTTTCAGACAATTCCTTTACCTCTTCCAAAACAATTTTTTGATGGTTTAAATGGTATTTTCAGTATATTTATTTGGAATAATAAAAAACCTAGATTAAGACTTCGCCTGTTGTACCTGCCGTATGAGAGTGGGGTTGCAAATTCCTAATCTTAAATTGTATTATTGGTCCGCCCAGCTACGTTCAGCTATGTTTTACTTTTCAACTGAAACACCCCCAGCATGGATAAAAATTGAACAATTAATAACAGACCTTAGATTAAATCTGTATTTGTATTCTGCAAGACCGAAACAACTGATTAAAATGACAAAAAATCCTTTTCTGAAAAATACAATTGATGTTTGGTATAGGACCCATCAATATATTGGAGATACCCCCTCCATCTCCTCTTTCTCACCCATCTGGGGGAACAGATATTTTAGGACGGGGACAGCTGATGGAGGTTTCAAAATCTGGGCAAATAAAGGTGTACAGAAACTGGCAGATCTTTATCAGGATGACAGGCTTCTTACATTTGAACAGTTAGGCCGAATATATAGCATTCCAAAGAAACACTTTTATAAGTATTTACAAATTAAACATTTTATTATGTCTGTATTGAAGGACTTTTGGTTTGGGATTGTTTGAGTAATTAGTTTGGACTTGTTTGATGTGTGGTGTGTAGAAGTAGCCACTCAGCTCCCCCCTTTGGTTAGTGGTAGGTATTGCAGGCTGGGGTTTTTGCCCAGTCAGGTTCTCTGTTAATTTCCTTCAATACTAAGATGGCAGTTCAGATGAAGGATAGTTGAAGACACAATCTGTTTTGTATCTTTGGTTTAGTTCGCCATCCACTGGTTTTTGTGTTCTGTGTGCGTCCAAGGATATGTAAGTAAATTACTGACATATTATTATTTACAGATAGATGTGTATTTTTATTATATTTTTGATGATAGTTGGTAATTGTAATTATGATGTCCAGCCAGCCACATGGCAATGCTAATTAGGTTTATTTTCTGCTTTTTTTCTGTTTGTAGAACCACACACACACANGTCATTGGAGACAGAACTGAAATGCAGAGCTGCTTGTTCCCCAAAACTGAAGAGGTTTAGGTTTACCTTTATTGAAAAAGAAACACTTTTTTTAATGAGGTACTTCAGGGATTTCATGTGTTGGTTAGTAAAGTGTTAATCTATAAGCAGGAGGCATTAAAAAAGTCTTCAAATGGCATTTTGGACATAATACTTACTTCTTTGTTCATGTATATCAAATCAAAATGCACATAGCACTTCATGCTGCTGGTGATGGTTTGCACGGCTCCTTTGACTTGTGCTTCATACGAAGCATCTTTTTCCCTGATCTTGAATTTCGCTTCCTCAGAGTCCGGTTTAGGCCCAATAATGCAGTCACCGTCGCTACTGAGGTTGTAAAAACCATTGAAGCAAATCACAAAGTTCTCATTGGTGAAGTTGACCTGTTAAAAACAAAACAAACAAAGGGATGATGCAGAATTTGAAACGTGTGATTGGTTTGAAACATGGTTTTGGAAGAAAGCAGTCAGGTGGGGAATTTTCCACGATTTGACAAATGTCCAGACAAAGTATTTAGGATTATCTTTCATATGCAATATATAGCATCTTATAACTAAACATGAACCCTTTAAAGCCCGATCCAAGAATAAAACAAAACAGAAAATTACTTTTTTGGTTTTAAACTAAATATTTTAACAAAATATGTAAAAAGAAAAAAACAGAAATACATTTTTGATATTAATAATTTATTACTATGCGATAAGTCAAGATAATTTTTTGTGTAGTCTTCTACTGGCTGTTATCAGGTATATCTGATTGTGTACAATAGGATTTTGAGCAAAGTTTTTACCATTAAATTATGCAAAAGGTGTCAGATGCAAAATATTTCAGAAAGTGTATGTATCAAATACGATACATTTGGCATTATAGGGTTAAGATTCAACCACTAAATGGGATGGATGAACTTGCTGCTGCATGTTAAAAACTTGCTTCATAACCCACGCTAGCAAATATTCAGGTTTATTCTGAAGAATTTGGCTCCCTTTTACTTACATAGACCTGCTGGTACATGTTCTGATAAAAAAATATGGGGCACAAGGTGAGGTTGAACATCTTAGCTGCATTGAATATCTCTGAAGAAGATCCTGCAGACATGAAAACACAAACTTTCTGAGTGTGAAATAGAGATGGTATGAAATTCTAGATATGTAAATATGAAAATGTGAACTGCAATTGATGTTCATCCAACCTAAATTACACAAGTATCTCTAAGAAGAGAAGAAGCTTGCTGCCCATCATCAGAAAATGACAAATAATATTAAAATCTTACCAGTCTGAGCAACAAGTTGGACTCCAGTACTTTGAACATTCTCAAACACAGAGAACAGCGTGAAGGTGTATGTGGTTTCAGCAGAAAGTGATGAGACTGTGTGATTTATTGGTCCATTTCCAGCTGGAGCATCAACTCTTGTCATGGTACCGTTGAACTGCAGAATGAAGTTTGTGACGTTGCTCACTCTTTGCCACTGCAGAGTTATACTGGTCTCTGTTTCACTTCAGGACAGCAGGCCAGTTGGATTTTGAGGAGCTGAAGAGCAAATTTAGAAATGTTTTAAACGTTGCATCACACTACATGTCAATTATATCGTGCAAGTTCATGAAATGTCAGATGGAAATATGAATTAATTAGTTATTTATACAAAGAAAATAAAAATCATTCCAACAGTGGGAAAGTTTGAAGAATGATAATTTCACAGCCAACCTGATAATCAGTGTGTAATATTAATGTAATGTAAATCCCTTTATTGTCCCACAATGGGGAAATCTGTTTCTGCATTTTAACCCATCCCCTTGGGGAGCAGTGGGCTGCCATTGTGTGGTGCCCAGGGAGCAATCAGGAGTTAAGGGTTTTTTTCTCAGGAAAGCACAGTGCAGGATGTGGGGTCCTTGAAACCTTCTCAGAGCACAAGCGCATTGCTCTAACCACTAGGCCAACACTCCATCTTTTAAAAGTAACATCTGGAGAATGTCAGTGAGAATATCCTTCTCAACTTGACCAAATGCAGTTCTGGCATAAACATCCACCTTGGGTGATCCTGCATGTACCTAAATTGTTTTCCTAGTTGCTTTGATTCTGTTTTATTTTCCTATATTTTATAATGTAAAGCTATTTGCATTGTCTTTGTACTGAATTGTGCTATACAAATAAATTTGCCTTGCCTTGCCTTGCCTTCCATCTAAACAACTGAGCCGCATCTAGAAAGCTG